TTCAAGGCAAATTTTAAACATACCAGCTAGCTCAACAGCTAGTGAAAGAGTTTTTTCTGTGTCTGGCAGAATTCAAGAACAATGAATATTGATACCAATTCTTTTTTATACTTGTACTAGATACATAGTATATCTGAAATTTTAAAAATAATAATAGTATCTTCAGCCCTAGCTAGGCGTTTGGTCAAGCTTTTGTAATAATACTTGTGTGATAAAAGCCTATTTATATGAAACGCCATTTATATAAATAAAGTTTCAATTTGAAAAAAATGTCCGTAAGAAATAGTGCGTGAGCATGCGTGATTGAAAAAATAGGCGTCGTGAGCTGGCGTGAACGTGATTGAAAAAGATATAGCTGGACGTGAGTGTGCGTGATTTACAAAACCATTAACGTGAGCGTGCGTGAACGTCAGCCAAAATTACTCACGCGCCCATCTCAACTCCGAATGAACTTCTGCCATGAAATCGCTTTTTATAAAAACCATTTGCCATTCGGAGGCGGCCCAGAACTTTCCCTTCCCTTCATTGGCGTGACAAGATCAACACGCACATTATGGATAACTTGATTTAGGTATTTTATGCAATGCATTCAAAACACAAGCGAAAGGACAGCTAACTATTATAGGAGTATATATTGAAAAAATGTGTAGGTAAATAATAGTTTTTAAATTAAGCTACTATTAGACTGTGAAATCCTTACGTTTGACGACAAAACTGAGCCTTAGATTGCCTCTACTTACTTCCCCGCTTACTTTTATTTCTATAACCAATTTACAAGAAAAGCCCAAATACGGCTTTATTCAAACCAAGAATTTTTCGTTTTATTAAGACCCATTAAATAACTTGCTTAATTTTTACGGGATTTGGTAAATTTTTAGATCGATTTTGGGAAATTTTATTTTTCGACTGCACAGTGGTACCGTAGGAGGTCATTCGAAAAATTCACTAATTACTAACAAACAGCCACTCTAACAGGGAATACAAAAAAAAATAAACATTTAACACTAAAGCTCCGTTTCATCCGTGGAAGGTGCACACTTTCCATAAATGCTTATTATTTCAAAAAGTATGCATTAATTTGAGTGAATCGCTGAGAAGATTTTGATCAATTATATTTACTTGTCAAAACTTGTTTCATATGGAGCTGAAAGCTGAAGGTATTCCAAGTATGTGATTTTTTCTTTAAAGTGTCTTAATAGTAGTTTAAATATAATTTTAAATAAGTGGCAGAAAGTAAAAAAATGCCTTTTCTGATTTGTCAAGGCTTTTAATTACTTTTGCACTAAATTGCACGCATGATTTTGGTACCAAAATGTTTGCATAGATCTCTAGTTTCAATATCAGAACCTTCCAACTGCGTTTAGCTGCCTCTGGGTATCGCATAAAGTTTATACTACACCCCTCAGTTTCAAACAGGTTTTCAAGGTTTCATTTAGTTTTTTTAATTGGCTCTTTTGACCTTTTTTACCCCAATAAAATTAGAGTTTTTCTTAAAAAAAATTTGTAACAGCAATTTTTTGATCCAGTTTACTCCTATTTGCCACGTAGATCATGGATCTACAGTCCAATTCTCTACAAGTTTGGAATTTCAACATGCTATGTATTGTCAACAGGAATTGTCAAAAAATGGCGAAAACCTTGACAATATAAAATTTTTTAGCAGTTTTGGTAATTTTTTACAATAAAACATACTATTTTTAAAAAACATTCTATATAATGTAGGAAATTAAATTCTCTACATATTTGTATATAACCATTTTTTTTTGAGAAATGCAAAATTTGCTTGCAAATCGCAAAAAAAACCCAAAAAAATAAAATCCAAGATGGCGGAATGTTGCCACATGGAATTTAGGGGCGAGACTGTGGATCCATTATCTACGTGTCAATAGAAGTAAATTTATATAATTTTACTGGGATAATCGCTATGTTTGGGACGAACCTGGCCGTGATATAAGCGTCGTACAAAAAAATTTAGGTATAAGAGTTGTGAAGAATGAAATTCTGTACATGTTTGGAATTTCAACATGCTATATATTTTCAACAGAAATTGTCAAAAAATGGCGAAAACCGTGACAATATAAAATTTTTGAACAGTTTTTGCCAATTTTTTACAATAAAAAATGTTATTTTTTATAACAAATGTGGGAAATTAAATTCTCTACATATTTGTATATAACCATTTTCTACGCAAAATGAAAAATAAGCTTGCAAATCGGAAAAAAACCAAAACAACTTTAATTCACGATGGCGGAATGTTGCCAAATGAAATGTAGGGGCAAATAGAAGTTAACTGCATCAAAAAATCGCTGTTACAAGTTTTTTTCAATTTTTCTTCCAAATTTATCTAATTTTACTGAGCTATTAAATGTATTTTAGGATCGAGTTATAAGTGTTCTTTTGCTCGAATATTGGATAAATGGCTCTCCTATCAAAGCATCAAAAACCAAGAAGAGAGGGAACGGAAAGTTTTTAAAGCCATGACACATGCTTTGCCATCACGCGAAAATGTATACACTGACAGTTTGAAAAATTGCATTTTCTACCTTTGCCGGAGGTTTTTCAAATATTGCGCGAAAGTTGACAAGATCAAGATACCGACTAATCGCCAAATACTGCGACTGGTTATATGAAAATGAAAATTGCATTTGCAAAGACAGGTAATGAAGATTTTCCCTCTACAAGCAAGCAGTTGCATAGAAAACCATTTGCTGACTGCAGTAAAAGATCTAAGCGCCGCAGATTTGCTCAACTATCATAGGTCGATACTTCTGCCATCTCTGCGATAATTAATGATTCCGCCCAATCAAGAACCTCTTCTGTACAATTCAGCGCTGACGATATGGTATCACTAATTATGGAGGCTAAATTGACAAATTACCAGTACTTGCTTGTAAAAGAGTTAATACACTCTAAATTTACAAATGTTTTGCCCTCATATCAGAAAGTGCTAGAAGCCAAGAAACGATGTTATCCATTAGAGAAATGTGTTACAGAATGCTCTAACGAAATTAATTTACAGTGTTTGTTATACCACACTACTTCTTGAATTTCTTTCTTGAGCGTGCAAGATGGTGTTGTTGATGCAAATAATGATTATGTTCTAATTGGTAAGTGGGGTTGTGATGGCAGTACCGGGCGCATGGAATATAAACAAAAATTTTCGGATTCAAAAATTGAGGACAGCAGCTTATTTGCAACATCTTATGTTCCCCTTAAATTAATTTATAAATCGAGCATATCAGATTCAGCTATTACTGTTTGGAGGAATCCCCGGCCGTCCTCTAATAGGTTTTGTGGACCGATTCGCTTAAAATTTGCCACAGAAACAAAAAAATGTTCCGTGCAAGAAGAAGCTTATTTTAAAGATAAAATTAATAAGTTACAATCGACTTCGTTACTTTTCTATAATCGCGAAGTAGTTGTGGAGCCTTCTTTGCATCTATCAATGGTTCACGGCAAAGTCTGTTCTGCTCTTAGCGATTTATCTACAAATAGATGTTGTGGAGCATCACCAAATAAGCTGAACGACATTGAACGATCTGTAAGCAAACCAGCAGACATCTCCAAATATGAGTTTGGCTTGTCGCCACTTCATTCGTGGATTTGGTTTTTTGAATATTTTATCCACGTTTCTTATAAAATTAAATTAAAAAATGGCAATGTCGCTCAGATGAAGAAAAAGCTCTTGTAGCGCAAAGAAAGAAAATCGTGCAGCAGCAGTTTAGGGATCGTTTAGGTTTAGCTGTGGAGAAGCCCCGAAGCGATGGCAGCGGCACATCCTTCGACGAGAATACCGCTCGAAAGTTTTTCCGAAACTCTGCTATTTCAGCTGAAGTTACAGGAATAGATAAGGCTCTTATTGACAAGTGTTACCACATCCTGCAGGGCCTCCCGTCGGGTTATAAAATATATACTAAAAAATTTTAAATTTATGCATTTGAATTTGCGACCTAGTTGGGGCATATCCGTGATATAATTTACCACCATCTGTTCATAACGCTTTAATCCATGGGACCGAGGTGATTAATTTCGCAATCTTGCCAATTGGTGTGTTCTCCGAAGAAGCTGCCGAATCATGCAATAAGCTAGTGGTGCAATTTCGACGATTCAATAGAAACAATTATTGTATTTTCAACAACACTGACCTTTTGCACAGACTACTTCTTAATTCTCATCCTTACATATCTAGCCTTCGAAATTTACCGCGAAAATCCAAGTCTGAGCTATCAAAAGAGGCATTAGATTTATTATGCACTTAAAACTATGTTACTTTTGTATGCATTGTTTGTATGATCTAGTAGTAATTTGATTTTACATAAATAAAAAAAATTTAAAAATCACATTTCTATGCACTTTTTCATCAAAGGGTTTTTTTTTTTAAACAACAAGACAAAAAACTGCGGATTCATCGCTCACAAAACCTGTATACCCGCCTTCTTTCGAGAGCGGTACCACTGTGCACTGGTCGCAATCTGCTTATAGTGCCGTACTACGAGAGATGCTTGACGTCTTTGACACAACTAACTAAATCACTTAGACATAACAGCTTGGTTGTTCCTAAATGCAATTCCCTTACCTCGTGCCGACTGTTTTTCGTTAGCGCTGTAAGACTGTAAAAACTCAATTCCGAGAATTGTCAAAACTGGACTCAATGGGAGCAGTTTTAAAGGCGTAATTCTTCAATACTTTAGTTGAATCGATATGTCGTCTGCTTTTTGGCTATAAATAATCCTGGTGGGAACCCATTTCTATATGCTTTTCTTTTCTATTCGTATTAAGTTTCATAAAATGCTTATAACTTCTATACTATTTATAATACGATTTTAAATGTTAGCTGATGTACCTATAAAAGACCGTAGTGTTTTAATTGCAAGTACAATCATTTCTAAAAATAAATTGAAATACATAACATCTTACACACTTTCTTTTTCTTAAAAATTTAAAACCAAATAAACTCTCACCATAAATGTGATAATGTGCTTGCATATAATTCCACTTACCGTTAGATGTTGTAGTATGAAGTAGAGCCAAAAGAAATATGAGTAAAATTTTGTAGTACCATTGTAGATGATTTGCGGTGCGTCCCGTTATGCAATGGTATCTGCTATACTTTTCGACTGATGTAAAAACTGGTAGCATTGTTTCACGCATGGAATATTTTTTGTTACTAAAATGTAATTATTAACTTTTCTATCACAATATTCGTTGACATCAAATACACATCTTCGACCCTGCTTTCCCGAAATGTTGTAATTTACTTTTTGTACATTACCAGTATTTTCGCGCCAAAATTACTCTTGAAACTCTACGAAATCCAGTTACAAAATGTTTACTATTTCTTGGCTGCGAGACGATATTAATAAAAGAAATATGCGCAATGCACTCGGGTTTCACTTGTGACGCAATACGGAAACAGCAGTAAAGCTTTACTTGGCAATATTTGTATCCACTTTTACTTCAATTCAAATTTCATTAACCAAAACACAATTTTGAATTTTTAAGGCTTGTCACCGCTGAGCAAGTGCAATGATTAAATCCCACTCAAAAGAGAAGCAAAATATGCCAACATACGCTTATAAGCTTATATGACGATATACAGTCCCGTTCACATGATTAGATGCACTTGAAAAAAAAATCTTCAAATAATCAGGCGCAATAGAAAAACAATAAGAACACAGAATTAAACATAAATTCATACTAAATCAACATTTATCCTAACCACTTCAAACCACCTGTGCATAAGGGACCTTTCTTAGTTTCCTGAGTATATATTCATAACCTGCCTTATCCTGACTTTCGCCTGAAAAAAATTCAACCGAAAATTTGTCATCCGCCCATAGTAAAACCATGGAAACCAAAAGTGAAAAGTGAGCCGGTTCGGAAAATATTAAACTCATGATAAGTCCTATTTATTCAGAACATTGGTTGGTTGGTAGAAGCGTCGCCTGAGTACATTGCCCGGAACCAATTAGTGCTGAAAGAAGAATTTTGATACGCTTTCTCTGGGATCCTTGATTTTATCTGCTTTCATGACACGTTAGGCTCTTCAAACCATTGGGATTTTCCGATGAATCTATTTAGGTTAGTAATGGTAAATTTGGAAATCTCCCCGTGATTTTGGGTGGAAAAACTGCCGAGTGAGGCTATAGCTACGGCACCGAGGATTGTACGTTATCGTGGCTATTAATTTGACTATATCTTTCCTCAGAACATTAGAATTTATTGTTTTAATTGTGAATTTTTTTATTGGCTAAAAAATGGTTTCAGTTTACTAGAAAGATTAAATGTAGACTTTTATACCAGAAGGACCCTGAATCTTAAAAAATTATAAGGGGAATATATAGAGTGTATTGGTTTCACGTCTCGTGAAAACTTTTATAGCAAGTGAAAATGTGAAATTACTGGAATGGCCATCGTTTTCTCCAGATCTTAGCATAATAGAAAATGTGTGCGGATGGCCAACATGAAAAAGGTATGATGAAGACAAGCAATTCAATAATAAACAATCATTAATCAATGCCATAAAAAGTGCCTGGGTGGAAATACAATTGGAACACCTAAAATCACTATATGACTCTATAAGAGACCATATTTTTGCTGTTATTTCTAATAAAGGAGGAAATCCAAAATATTAAATTGCGTGTTGAAATTACTTTATTGAAATAAACCCAAAAATAAACTTACTTTGTTGAATAAAAATTGTTTTCTTTAGCTTTTGGTGTTGCGTCTAATCTAATGAAACCCAAACATGTAAGAACTTTTTGGCAAGCCTTGAAGTATAGTTAAAAAATACCATTACGATTATTTGGTTTTAAATGTTTTATGTCTCAGTTGCTTTAGTTTGAATACTTATTCCATTCAGTAATATATGTAAGTGCTTTACTGAAATTTGCAATAATTCATAAAGCTTCAAATTTGTATTGCGTATGGCGGTGCGTCTAACCATGTGACCGGAACTGTATGCACACATATATGTACATGTATGCATACATACACAGTAGGCGAAAAGGCGTCTGATTAAAATTTTTCAGCAGACAGTAATCGGTAATTTTTGTAATTTATATTTTAGCCATTTATAAATACGCAAATTTTGGATTTAAGGTACTTTGGACCTGAGAGATCCCGAAAACCCCGAATGGACCCGGATAAATAAAAATAAATAAAAAATCCAAATATCCGGTAATTTTCTGCCCCATAAAATATCAGACAAGTTTCGATTTTCTACCAGCCCTAAAATAAAAAAATAGTCATCTCTCACTGAAGAATTAACGGCCAAGTTTGTTTAAATCATGACGAAATCAAAAATCACTTTAATTTTCCGTATATATTTATATTGTTTTATTTTTTGTTGTGTGCATATACACATTCAATGTGTAAATCCCAATGCGGTACAAGTAATATCATAAAAAAATAATGTGTCAAAAAATTTAATAAATTTTGTATCAGTTATTGCACTGATAAACTGGTTTCTGTAGTCGGTCCCCACTCGTGTCACACTGTTTCATATGTGATATCCAAAAACTAACACCAAAGAACTTTTTTGTCACACGTTATCAGTGTGAAATTTATTGTCACATTTTTTTTTATTTTCGTACACCAATAACCTTCGTCGCTCTTGATAAAGCAAATATCACATAAAAAATAAATCATTACAGGTCTATATTTGCCTTGGTATACATATGTATGGCATATTCATAGTTTTATTTACTGCATGCAAACGTTAAGAAACTCTAAATTCAAATTAATTTAACTACGTTTTATTTTATTAAATTAGTACGTCCATAATTTTTTTAAGTTTAACTTAATTTAATTTTATTTCATATATGTAATTTATTTCCTTTTTGGTTGTTGTTGTTTCCGACAGGGTGGGTGTATGATGTATTTTGGAACGAATTTCCGTCATCCCTTTCAAATTTGGTTTGGTGACAAACCGGTTTCGGCGTTGTGCCATCTTCAGTGTCATTTTTCATTTAATTTATTTCTTTATCCTATGGACTGTACGAATGAAAAACTAAGCCATCGCCTTTTCTTACAAATTCAGACCGTTTACTTAAATTTATTTGAATAAATGGAGTAAAAAGTCCGAAATATTCAAAAAAAATTGCTTAATTTTTATTCATACGGCTGTGAGTCTTCACAAAACAGCAACACTTACTGCAAAGCTGCCTTATACCGGGGACAGACATCTGGTATTTCTTCGTAGAATTTTTCCAAAATACCATATGTCTGTCACCAAATATTATAATATTCTTCAAAATACCACGTGAGCAACCTAGTATTTTTTGCAGAAAGAATACAACTTTCCGAAGGTTGTAATTTTGTGGTATTCTCATTGTGAATGAGTATTTTATTTATGAAAAAATCATTGACATTTTTGCGCGATTAAATCCAAAAGTTTATACCGCAAGTGTTGATGCAATATATAGCAATTTTTGCATTATTTTGTACATTTTTATGTTTATGAGTTGTTCTTCAAAAACATAAGAATTGACTCAGAAATACTAAGTTAATTTCTGTGACCATGGTAGTATTTTGTTAACCAATATAAATTTACCAGAATACAAATACCAGATGTCTGTCCCCGGTATTAATTCTTAAAATGTACTTAAAATGTACTTTAAGCGGACTTTCCGGAAATCATCTAAAAGTGTTTTAAAAATGTTGAAAGGTTAAAAAAAATTGTTTGTGAATGTTTATATTAACAATGGGAAACAAAGTTTGAAATTTCCTGTTTGGACTGTTAACTTACCTTGCATTAGATTAGTGGTTAGTTTAGGATGACTGTCGTTTAGAAAGTCATACTTATAGCATAGAGAGACGACCGCGTTGATTAACTTGTTAATTGGGAACTATCTCGGGAATTAAGTGCAGTTGATCAGTATTAAATCCTAGACCCAATTCCCAAAATTAATGCGAATCAAGGGCAATTTGGATAACTACACTGACCAAAACGGGTCAGCTGACGTCTATTGTGAATGAAAAACAAGCGAAGCCATCAAGTAAGAAAAGAAGAGAGCTCAACTAACTATATGAATCGATTTCGTTTTGTTGGTGCGAAAAAATAACTAATCGAAATAATTTCGTTACGTTTCAGATCCAAATTAACGAAACAAAACTCAATCGTTAACGTTGAAACGAAATAAATCAACGAAAAGTTGTTACTAGGTGCGTTCGTTTAAAAGCTCCAGTAAAAAACATCCAACAGCAAAACTCCGCCGAAATGTCACCAGTTCTCTCACAAGAGAAAAATATTCAAAACAGTACGCGAACAGGAAATTTGCAGAAACTTACAAGTTAGACGAACAGGTAATATAATTGTTGTTTACATTCAAAAGTGTAAAATATAAAACGTACGAAAACTCATCACAAAGTGTTATCCTGACACAGTTTATTAATTAAACAAATAACTACTTACTTCTTACAAGTTAAATTACTCGCATTTTGTCATTTTTAACTTCCAAACCATCAAATTGTGATTTGCGTACATTCCAACCAGCTGTTTTTGATCAGCTGTTTTCCTGTTGGCAAATTGCTGTTGGCAGAAACCAGCAGCTTCCCCTCAAAATGAAATGTCACTTTGCTCTCTCAATTTCCCCTACTTTACAAGTTTTTTGCGTACGCGATAGTGTTGCCAACTCGTGGGATTTCGCCCATAATTTGGGATTTTCGCACCATAAAAGGGCGCGTGGTATTTTGCGTCTCATTATGGGATTTTTAGCTAAATACAATCTTATGGTTCTATTATTTTTTTTTATTTGTTGTTAATTCCAACGTGACAGGTGGGACATTTAAACTTGTTTTACCTCAAACTTTAATTAATTTCCTTTTAACCCTCGATTCGGCATTTCAAACTATTAACATCTGAGTTCAAATATCAGTTTAACACGAAACCAATAAAGTAGAAAACTTAGTTATATGATTTACACAGAAAATTTTCATTTTCCCCAAGAGTGACGGCTGAGACAATCACGACACCCGCCTCTCTGAGTGGATGGATTCGTTTTCCATTTTAGACAAACTTTATATCAAAATATTTCTTGCATAGCGGCTTTCTCGAATGTAGTTAGTATATAATGATAAGGTCCATTTTATGCTTTTGTGGCATTATTATATTTGAAAAAAAAAAAACGCTTGTGACGGCAGTATTTTGTGACTGGTGGATTGAGTCACTATTGAAGACACATAGGAGTTTTGCACTTTTTCCCATAAAAGCATGGATTTCATATTAAAGCCGTTTGAAACTTGCACTTCATTACACTAAATTTGTTGGGGCTATAAAACTGCATACCCAAAAATGTTTTAAAGATTTACACCCAAATTCATAAAAAATAAAGAACATTTTA